ACTGTATCTCTACTGATACTAATCCAGCTCCCTCACACTGTCACTCAGTAACCCCTCTCCCCACCACTCTTTACCCCGCCTAGTGCCCTGTATTACTGATTGTATCTCTCCTTACGTTAATACTGCTTCTTTGAGTGTCAACCTTGCAGTACAAACAGCAAATTCTGGGGATGATTGGAAAACACAAGATACCTAAAAGCAAATGCACAAGGCTCTCTTTAGAAAGAGCCAAAGGGAGGGACACTGCCTATGAAGTTGAACTGAACCAAAAAGTGTGTGAAACTGAACAAGGTTTACTGGAAGCATCATGACCATGTACGGTAATCATCAACTCCATTAGAAAATGGCAACATTTACACCGAATACGTCATGTTGGGAGCTTCAATCAAGTCCTCTCCAAATGGAACAAGATTTGCTTTTTTTTGTTTGAAGTCCTTCGAAATTCCAAAATCTGTGCAAAAATAACGCTTTTAAAATCTTCAACCAATATTCCTTCACGGAGGAGGGACCATTTAAAGAACAAAAACAAAAATCAAAAGAAATCCCAAATTAAAGTCCAAAGCAGGAGCTCATAATTCTCCAGGTCAGTAAGTCTCTTGGTCTCTCAGCTCCAACCTCCTGCACCTCGTCCATCACATTGACAAGAGTTCATGAACACACACAGTCAGTAAATCTTCTGTCGACTGGGCAGGATTGCCTCTTTGATGAAGGTGAAGATCACTAGGATTCCTGATCTCTTGCTCCTCTTTCCCTTTGTGAAGTAGTTTGACACAACGTCATCTGTGGAAAATTAAAGAAACCATGAACTAACCCACAAACTAGCCCATCAAACTAACTTTTCATAGAGTTGTTCAGCACAGAAACAGACCCTTCGCTCTAACTTGTCTGCACCAACCAGACATCCCAATCTGATCTAGTCCCATTTGCCAGTATTTAACCCACATCCCTCTAAACCCTTCCTATTCAACTACCCAATCAGATGCCTTTTAAATGTTGTAATTGTACCAGCCTCCACCACTTCCTCTGATAGCTCATTCCATACATGTAAAGTACACAAAGCAGAACAGAGCACTTATAAAGGAGTTTTCAAAAGAAATGGATACCCAAGAAGCACAATCCGCTGTTACCTCCAAGAAAGACCACAACACGGCCAGACATACTAGTCACCCTACTGTATATCAATGACATATCAGAGATGACCACAAGGCTACTCAGACCCCTAGGTATCAGAGTCGCCCACAAACCAACAACCACCCTATGACAGCTACTGACAAACAAAGGATCCCATACCCACAGCCTATAAAACTAACGTAATATACAAAATACCGTGCAAGGACTTTGAGAAACATTACATAGGCCAAACTGGAAGGAAACTGACAATAGGGATACATGAACACCAACTAGCCACCAAGAGACACGACCAATTCTCGCTTGTCTCGCTTCACACGGACAGCGGGGAGCATGAATTCAACTGGGACAACACATCCACAATTGCACAAGCCAAACAGAAACACGCCAGGGAATTCCTGCAGGCCTGGTATTGCAACTGGAACTCCATCAACAAACACATTGAATTAGACCCTGTGTACAAACCACTGAGAAACAGAACTGGAAGTGGTACCAAACACCCCAGCAAATTGAGGCATATAAATAATAAATGGGACAGAACACCGATGCTTCACTGGAGGCGCCCTGACAATGTTACCTAGCAGAGTAATGAAATGTCTGCAACCAAACACACTGGCTTGACGAGCATATCTACAACCTCATCCACATCCCGAGCTACAAATCTTCTTGAAAAAAAGTTGCCCCTTAGGTCCCTTTTACACCTATCCCCTATGCCCTCTAGTTTTGGGTTCCCCTATCCTGGGGAAAAGACCTTGTCTATTCACCCTATCCATGCCCCTCATGATTTTATAAACCTCTATGAGATCACCCCTCAGCCTCAGATGCTCCAGGGAATATGGCCCCAGGCTATTCAGCCTCTCCCTATAGCTCAGACCCTCCAACCCAATCTTTTCTGAACCTTTTCAAGTTTAACAACATCTTTCCTGTAACACAGCGACCAGAATTAAACACAGTATTCCAAAAGTGACCTAACTAATGTCCTGTACAGCTGCAACATGACCTCCCAACTCCGTTACTCAACGCTCTGACCAGTAAAGGCAAGCATACCAAACACCTTCACTATCCTTGCAACCAACAAACCAGCCCCTCAAACTAACACACTAGAGGTGGCAGCATAATGGTATACACTCAGGAGGGAACTGCTCTGGGTGTCATCAACATTAACTATCAATCCCATGAACCTCCTGCCGACTACCACGTTCTGCTGAGAAATCATTCCTCCATTTCAAACCTCGTGTATTGAGAATCTATCCAGCACCATTTTAATCAAAAGCTGTTTTCACCACTTTTCAGGAAGAGAGTTCAAAGAGAACCCACACTTCAGAGAAAAAAAAACTCCTGATCTCTGCTCATCACTTTAATGAGGGGTTATTTGAACATAGAACATAGAACAGTACAGCACAGTACAGGCCCTTTGGCGCACGATGTTGTGCCGAATTTTTACCCTAATCCTAAAGGTTTATCTAACCTCCACCCCCACCTTATACTATCATCCATATGCCTATCTAATAGCCGCTTAAATGCCTCTAATGAGGCCAACTCCACTACCCTCTCCGGCAATGCATTCCACGCCCCTACCACTCTGACTAAAGAACCGACCTCTGACGTCTCCCCGATATCTACCTCCTTTCACTTTAAAACTATGTCCCCTCGTAAAAGCTACCTCTACCCTAGGAAAAAGTCTCTGGCTGTCTACTCTATCTATACCTCTGATCATTTTGTACACCTCTATCAAGTCACCTCTCATCCTTCGTCGTTCTAAAGAGAAAAGCCCTAGCTCTCTCAACCTTTCCTCGTAAGACCTTCCCTCCATTCCAGGCAACATCCTGCTAAATCTCCTCTGCACCTTTTCCAACGCTTCCACATCTTTCCTGTAATGAGGCAACCAGAACTGGACACAATACTCCAGATGTGGCCAAACCAGGCTTTTGTATAGCTGGAGCATAACTTCACAGTTCTTGAACTCAATCCCTCTATTAATGAAAGCTAACACACCATACACCTTCTTAACAACTCTCACAAATAGAAGAGGACCCAGAACAGATCCTTGTGGTACACCACTCGTAACTGAGCACCATGTTGATTATTTTCCTTCCACTACCACCCTTTGTCTTCTAAGGGTCAGCCAATTCTGAATCCAATCTGTCACATGCCTCTTTACCTTCTGCATGAGCCTACCATGGGGAACCTTATCAAACGCCTTACTTAAATCCATGTATACCATATCCACGTGTTTGGTCACCTCTTCAAAGAATTCAATAAGGTTTGTGAGGCCTGATCTACCCCTCACAAATCCATGCTGACTATCACGAATCAAACTGTGCCTTTCCAAGTGATCATAAATCCTATCTCTCAGAGCCCTTTCCAATAATTTGCCCACCACTGACGTAAGACTAACTGGCCTGTAATTTCCAGGGTTATCCCTATTCCCTTTTTTGAACGAGGGAATGACGTTTGCCTCTCTCCAATCTTCCGGCACTATACCCGTGGACAGTGAGGACGAAAAGATCATCGCCAAAGGCCCTGCGATCTCTTCCCTCGCTTCCCATAGAATCCTTGGATAAATCCCATCAGGCCCGGGGGACTTATCTATCTTCAACTTCCTCAAAATTCCTGGCACATCTTTACTAACAGCGACCTCCTCTAGCCTATCAGCCTGTTTCACACTGTCCTCCTCTACAACTAGGTCCCTCTCAGTTGTGAATACCGAGGAAAAGTATTCATTAATGACCTCTCCTATCTCTTTATGCTCTGTGCACAAATTCCCTTTACAATCCTCGATCGGCCCTACCCTTTCTCTGGTCATTCCCTTATTCCTCAAGTACGTGTAAAAAGCCTTGGAGTTTTCCTTGATCCTATCTGCCACGGTTTTCTCTTGCCCCCTTATAGCTCTCCTAAGACCTTTCTTCAGCTCCTTCCTGGATAACTTGTATCCCTCTAGAGCCTTTTCCATTCCTTGTTTCCTAAACCTTACATAAGCATCCTTCTTCCTCTTAAACAGTCGTTCGAGAACCACGGCTCCCTCACTCAACCGCATCTTCCCTGCCTGCTAGGGACAAACATATCGAGCACACGCAGTATGCATTCCTTAAACAATCTCCACATTTCTACAGTGCTCTTCCCTGACAGCATCTGTTCCCATTTTATGTTATCCAGTTCTTGCCTAACAGAATTGTAATTACCCTTCCCCCAATTATAAACCTTACCCTGCTGTATGTACCTATCCTTTTCCATGACTATTGTAAAAGTAACAGAGTTATGATCACTACCGGCAAAATGCTCTCCTACCAACAGGTCTAACACTTGGCCCGGTTCATTACCAAGCACCAAATCCAAAGTGGCCTCTCCTCGTGTTGGTCTATCTACATACTGTGCCAGGAATCCTTCCTGAATACGCTGGACAAAATCTGCTCCATCTAAACTATTACAACTAAAATGTTTCCAATCAATATTTGGAAAGTTGAAGTCACCCATGACTACAACCCTGTGACTTCTGCACCTTTCCAGTATCTGCCTCCCAATCCACTCCTCCACTTCTCTGCAACTATTAGGGGGTCTGTAAAAAAAAAACCCAACAAAGTGACTGCTCCTTTCTTGTTCCTGACCTCAACCCAAACTGACTCTGTAGACATATTATTCTCGAACTGCCTTTCAGTAGCTGCTATACTCGCCCTGACTAGCAATGCCACTCCCCCACCTCTTTTTCCACCCTCCCTATTTCTTTTAAAGCATCTAAATCCCGGAACTTCCAACAACCATTCCTCTCCCCGAGTTACCCAAGTTTCTGTAATGGCCACAACATCGTAGCTCCAAGTACCCACCCATGCTCTAAGTTCCTCCGCCTTATTTCTGATACTTCTAGCATTGAAGTATACACACCTCAAACCATCTCGGTGTCCGCAATTACACTCCATTGACCACATTTTTTTATTAACAACCTCACTCCCTGTTGGAAGGCTGAATACCTCATGCTCTGAATTACAAATCCGGTTCCCCTCCCCCTGCCAATCTAGTTTAAACCATCCCGTACAGCTCTAGCAAACCTCCCTCCCAGGATATTTGTGCCCTTCCGGTTCAGGTGCAACCCATCCTTACTGTACAGGTCCCAACTTCCCCAGAATGTGCTCCAATTATCCACATAATGGGAGCCCTCCCTCCTACACCAGCCCTGTAGCCACGTGTTTAGCTGCACTCTCTCCCTATTTCTTACCTTGTTATCACGTGGCACTGGTAGTAATCCAGAGATAACTACACTGTTTGTCCTGGACTTCAGCTTCCAACCTAACTCCCTGTACTCGTTTTTCACATTCTCTGTCCTTTTTCTACCTATGTCATTGGTACCGAGGTGTACCATGACTCTGGTTGCTCACCCTCCCCCTTAAGGATCTTGAAGGCACGATCCGAGATATCACGGACCCTGGCACCCAGGAGGCAACGTACCATCCAATCATCTCGTTTGTGTCCACAGAACCGCCTGTCTGTGCCTCTTACTATTGAATTCTCCCACTACAATTGCTCTCCTATTCTCCCCCCTTCCCTTCTGTGCCACAGGGTCAGGCTCAGTGCCAGAGACCTGGCCGCTATGGCCTTCCCCTGGTAGGTCGTCCCCCCCAGCAGTATCCAAAATGGTATATTTATTATTGAGGGGAACGGCCACAGGGGATCCCTGCACTGTCTGCCTATTCCCTTTCCCCTTCCTGACAGTCACCCAGCTACCTTTTTCCTGTACCTTGGGTGTGACCATCTCCCTATAAATCCTCTCTTTGAGAGGAGTTTGAATTTGAATTAAACATACATGCGCCAGAGGGGTCACCAATTTCAAATAGCGAAGTAGTGAAATGTCTTCTCTAAGATTGAGTATCTGGTAATGGAAGGAGAATCCTCGAACATGAAGAGCATTTTGTTACGCGAGGGGGTGAAAAGTGATCAGGATAGGCAGCACTGTAGATTTGAGATTACAATCAGAACAGCCACCATCTTATTAAATGGTTAAGCAGGCTCAAGGAGCTGATTTATTTTTAATCCATTCACAGGATGTGGGCATCCTTGCCTATTGTAGTATTTATTGTCCATCCCAAATTAAGAGTCAACCACATTGCTGTGCATCTGGAGTCGCTTGTAGGTCAGACCAGGTAAGCAATGCAGTTTCCTTCCCTGAAGGTTATTAATGAACTAGATGGGATTTCCCCCCCCACAATCAGCAATAGTTTCACAGTCATTAGGCTCTTAATTCCAAATTTTTATTTAATTCAAATTCCAATATGGCAGGATTTGAGCTCAGGTCCCCAAAACATTACCTCCGTCTCTGGTTTAATAGTCTGGCAATAATACCACTATGTCATCACTTCCTCATGGACAACCCTTTATTTTTAACACAACTCTCTATTTCCAGAAAAAGAGGTAAACATCACTTCCACATCAATTCTGTCAGGACCCCTCTGGTGCTTGTAGGTTTAATTCAAATTCACCGCTCATGCTTCTAAACTCCACTGATAAAAGCCCAGCCTGTCCATTCTTTCCTCATAAGACAACATACCCAGTTTGGGTATTACTCTGATAAACCTTCTCTGAACTGTTTCCAATGCATCTCTGCCCAAATAAGAAGACCAATACTACACACACCACTACAGACGTAGTCTCACCAATGCCCAGTTTAACCGAAACATTTCCTCCCTACTCTTGATTTCACTTTCCTTCATGATAAATGATAACCTTCTATTAGCTATCCTAATCACTGGTTATACCTGCATATTAATCTCTTACCATGCAGACACTAAAACACCAGATCTCTCTGCATGCCAGAGTTCCGCACTGTTTAAATGAGATGTTCTTTTTAATTCTGCCTGCCAACATGGACAATTTCACATGTCCCTATATTATACTCCATTTGCCAGATCTTTGTCACAATATTGGTTTCATAACTCACTTTCTGAGCTATCCTTGTGGCATCAGCAAATTTAGCAATAATACCAGCAGAACCAGTCATTTATATAACTCCCCAAAGCTGGTCCACCATCTACAAGGCACAAGTTAGGAGTGAAGGAATACTCCCCACTTGCCTGGATGGGTGCAGCCCCAACAACACTCAAGAAGCTCGACACCATCCAGGACAAAGCAGCTTGATTGGCACTACATCCACTCCTCCACTACTGATGCTCAGCAGCAGTGTGTACTATTTACAAGATGCACTGCAGAAATTCACCAAAGATCCTCAGACAGCACCTTCCAAAGCCATAACCAACAAGAAAAACAGAAGTTGCTGGAAAAACTCAGCAGGTCTGGCAGCATCTGCAGAGAGAAATCAAGAGTAAATGTTTCTGATCCAGTGACTCTTCCTCAGAACTAATGGTAATGAAGAAATGTCGGTTTGTATGCAGAAGGTGAAGTGGGAGGCGAAGAAGCAGTAAACGATAGGTGGGGAGAGATCCCAAAGAAAAAGAAGAACAGTTGGACAGACAAGGGAACAGCCGATATATCTGTCCCTGGTTTGCTGCAGTTCTCCAGCGAAGCTCAATGCAAGCTGGAAGAACAACACCTCATTTTCCACTTGGGAACCCTGCAGCCCTCCGGACTTAATATTGAGTTCAATAACTTAAGGGCTTGAACTCTCCCATGTCCTAGCCCCCCACCCCCCACACACCAGGCCTTGTTATGACACAGTCTGCTATTACACACCCTCTGTTGTTAGCCACTAACAGTCCCCATTAACAGCTATTCCCAGCCTGATCACCATCCACTCCTTTTTCTGTCCAACTATTCTTCTCTCGCTCTTTGGGCTCTATCCCCACCTATTGTTTACTCCTTAATGCCTCCCCCTATGCCTACTCTATCGTCTGCATATAAACTGACACTTTCCTCGCTACCATCAGTGCTGAGGAAGGGTCACTCGACCCAAACTGTTAACTCTGATTTCTCTCCACAGAGACTGCCAGACCTGCTGAGTTCTGTTTCTGATTTACAGCATCCACAGTTCTTTTGGTTTTTACCTTCCAAACCCTCGGCCACTTCTAATTAGAAGGACAGATACATGGGAACACCACCACCTTCAAGTTCCCCTCCAAGCCACTCACCATCCTGACTTTAGAAATATATCGCCATTCCTTCACTGTCACTGGGTCAAAATCTTGGAATTCCCTCCCTAACAGCACAGAGTGTATCTGATCCCCCATGAACAGCAACGGTTCAAGAAGGCAGCTCACCATAACCTTCTCAAGGGCAGTTAGGGACGGGCAACATATTCTGGCCTAGCCAATGACATTTACATGCTATGAGTGATTGAAAATATGATCACTCAACCCACAAACCAGCCAAATTAACATTTAGCACATAAACCAATCCACCAACTGACCAACACACCGACAATTTTTCATCAACTTGTGCAGGCCTCACTCACCTCCCTGCTGAATCGTGGATGGGAGGACATTCTCTCCAGCAGAAAGGGACACAAAGAAGGAGAAAGGGGTTATCCACAGGCACAGTGTGAAGTAAGCCAGTACCTGAAGGAATACAGAAAAACCAAATGATTTAACTGGTAACCAAACAGGTGAGTACATAAACAAACAAGACAGGTCTTAATTACAAAATGAATAACCTCTCGCTTCCCCTCATTAAAATCTATTGGCCCCTTGTTGCTCACCCATGCATCCAGTCTATATCTCTTTGCAGCCTGTTCTGATTAAACTGTGTGATTTGTATAGTATACTAATATCATTTTTGGAGATGAATTTCAAACTAATGGCATATGGGTGTTGGGTAGTTTTGTGAAGAGTTCTGCGAGTACACAAGATGAAAGATTCCTTTCTGGAACAGTGACCTAATCCAGCATGGCTCAGACAGCAGGCCCCTGGAGTGTTAATGGAAGATCCTTTATACTGAGAGGTTTATGATCAACTAAACATCAGAGGCATTAAATAAAAACCAAAAGAACTGCGGATGCTGTAAATCAGGAACAAAAACAAAGTTGCTGGAAAAGCTCAGCAGGTCTGGCAGCATCTGTGGAGGAGAAAACAGAGTTCTTTTGGTTTTTATTTAGTATTTAACTCACTGCCACATCTCTTCCAGGCATGCCCACCTTGAAGAAGTTCTGCTCCTCCCTCCGACGGGATTCCCGTTCCAATCAAAGGCATTAAGTTATTTTTCATTTAGAATAATCTAGGATTCGTTTTAGATTAGAAAACCCAGAAACTGAGAGCTTTTAGTGCGGTTTTGGAGGAGACATGACTGCACTCAAAAGATAAATATAGTTTCTCTCCTAGAAAGAATTATAGGACTGTGCAGGAAAAGCACAATTTCATTGGTGTTAAAGTTTAGCTTGTGAAACTTCCAGACCAGAAGTGTTTGGCTAGAAATATGCAGATTAGTAAGAACAAGTGAGAACATCCAAGCTTTCAGGTTCATCAGTATTCATATAAGTCTTTGCAGTTTACAGGACAATATTGGGGTAAGTAGTTAAAGCAGACCTAAAGATGTGACATAGAGGGTCATTTCTGGTTGGCATAGACGTGGTGGGCCGAAGTCCTGTTTCTATGCTGTATGACTCTATAATTTCTCTGGATTGGAATTGCTGCAAAGTGATGGTGGTGGAAAATAGATGAGGCTTTGTTTTCTTGTTTTTTTAATACTATCTTTCAAACTGTTTTTTTTAACCTTTTGTGTCATAAACTATTAATTTATCGTTAAAGAAAATCTGCAGCTGTGTGTGCCTATGTTACAGTGAATGACCACAGCATTAAATGAGAAACAATCTGATCTGTTGAGCCAGATTTCCTTTTGGCTTTGACTAAATATAGACTGTAAATAGCTGAGCGACCAGCAGTGATCCTGCGGCACTCCAATAGTCTATCCATCTTAAATATATTATCTCTAAATTCAACGGCCCTTGTGCTGTGTGTTCCCTTAATGAATACCTTTTAGAAATCTAAGTATACTATGTCTATTGATTCCCCTTTATCTATCCTACTAGTTAGACCCTCAAAAAACTAACACATTATTTAAAAACAAGTTGCCTACCATAAAACCAAGGTGACTTTCTTTGAAAAAGCTGCTGTTCCTTACCTCAGCAAAGGGATAGTATTCTTCTGCAAAGTGTTGAAATGCCAAGTAATGGTTACAAACCAGCAGCACTGTGGGAGGGTTAAAAGTAAAATGTCCATTATGCTTCAGTTGCTGTCAGTTTAACACATCATAAACACCTATAACCTAGCGCGGACTGATCTATCACTGTGTACCCGTGAAACAGAGACTGACAGCGAATGCCTGTTGGGGAGTGGGGGGGGGGGGGGGGGGATAGAAAGACTGAAAAGTGGGGGATTTATTAGACTGAATAGTTGGGTAAGAGAAGGGAGGGGCCAACCGAGCTGTAGAAGGAGTTGTGATGGGGTGTGGTTACTGCTAGGGCTCTCGTATCCCAACCTCTTGTTTCTTGAGGAGTTAATTAGCAACAACGAACACTAGGTCACCCAGAAATCAATGGGAAAGGTACTTACCACAGGACAGTATAAAATTGGGCGATGTGAGCAATATGTATGGAAAAGTCTGTAGGAGGCCAAAGTAGACGAGGTTTGTGAAAAGTCCGACTCCAATCATTAATGCAGGAAAATTCTCAAAGAGGTAGAGTCCAACCAGCACGGCGGTGGAGAACTGAGGAGTCAAGAAAGTGAACTGAAGATGAACAACTTGCATTTATCCTTTAATGTGAAAAAAGCCAGCATCACATCGCAGTCTGCAACCAGAAACAGGCCATTCTTTGTATTCCACATCTATCACCTCCATCCATATTGACTCCTTTATTCCTTTCTCCATCATGTCTGCAATTCCCTGTGATAGTGAATTCCACACTCTCACCACTCTTGGGGCAAAAATATTTCTCCTAGCTTTTCTGCTGTATTTATTAATCACTCTCATATCTCGATGGCCATTGATCCTGGTCTCCTCACAATCGGAAATATCTATCTTGTAAGAGCCTCTATTAGATCAGCTTCAGCCTTCATTTTACCAGAGAACGTCTTCAGCCCCATTGCTCCCCGATAGTTAAAAGCTCTGTTCTGACATCATTATACAAATCACTCTAGCGTGTCCTATATATGTATGTATCTATTTTATAATATGGTCACCAGAATTGTTCACCATACTCCAGTGTGGCTTAATACATAAAACACTTCAAGAGGGTGAAACAGGCACCATGCAGCCTTGGGTAGATCCAAACTTGGAGGTTAATTGTAGGGCAACAGAATGGGGATAGGCAGTATGTGGCACAGACTGAGTCATAACAGTAACATCACTGGGACAGGGAGTTCAAAACCCACCACAGCAACTGGTGAAATTTTACCACAATTAACAAAACCTGGAACTGAAAGCTCGTCTCTGAAATGGTGACCATGAAACAATCATCAATTGCTTTCAAAGACACATCCAGTTCATTCATCTCTTTTAGGGAAGGAGATCTGCCTGGTCCGGCGTACACATGACTCCAGACCAATGTGGTTGACTCTTAACAAATGCTGGCCAAGCCAGCGATACCCTCTGCCCATGAATGAAGTTTTAAAATTGGAGTTTTTAACCCTATTGCAGGATTCATTTGAAAAGTAATACATTCTGAGAGGTACTGCTACGGTTGGACATTTCTGAACAATCTCACAACTTCACAGGAACAGAGAGAAACTTTTTTTTTTACTGTTTACAGAGAGCAACAAACTATTCATTGATACAAATCTCAGTTTGCAAACAGCTATGATGGGATTTGAACTCAGTCTCAGAACACCTACGCTCGCTTCGCACTAAACAACTGCACCTCCCAGTCGCGAACCATTTCAACTCCCCCTTCCATTCCTCAGACGACATGTCCATCCTGGGCCTCCTGCAGTGCCACAACGATGCCACCCGAAGGTTGCAGGAACAGCAACTCATATTCCGCTTGGGAACCCTGCAGCCCAATGGTATCAATGTGGATTTCACAAGTTTCAAAATCTCCCCTCCCCCTACCGCATCCCAAAACCAGCCCAGCTCGGCCCACCTCCCTAACTTGTCCTTCTTCCCACCTATCCCCTCCTCCCACCTCTCCCCCTATCTTCTCCTCTATCCGCCTCCCCCTCTCTCTCTATTTATTTCAGAACCCCCTTCCCCTCCTCCATTTCTGAAGAAGGGTCTAGGCCCGAAACGTCAGCCTTCCTGCTCCTCTGATGCTGCTTGGCCTGCTGTGTTCATCCAGCTCTACACCTTGTTATCCCTGCACTCATTGTGTGCGATGGGCTGAGTGGCCTACTCCCACCCCTCCTTTACAATGCAGTCATCAGGACAGAGAAAGCCTGGTCTAGTCAGTGTCCTACAGTCGGAGTTTAAACGCGGAGCCTCCCCCTCCCCTCCCTGACCGACTCCTCCCCACCCACAAAACGTTGCACACTTCCCGGGTCACAGCGAAACACTCACCCATATCATGTACTTGATAATGCGGCTGGTAATTACTGTATACTCTTCGATTAATTCTGCCAGATAGTACAGGCCAGCAGCTGTTGATAGAGGGAGAGACAGCAACACACACATTACATGGTGACAACACTGAAAGGGGGGGGAAAAAAGAGGAGGAGGAGAGAGGTTCATCTAAAATAGGACAGATATCTCGAAGACTGGGGATCACACTGTTGATAGAAATCTTCAATGTACGTACATTGTACATAATTTATAGCTCAGGAACAGGCCACTCAGTCCAACTGATCTTTACGCTCCTAGCCCACATTATCTTAGCCTGTTAGGATATCCGTCTCCTCCTGACTCTCCACCACCCCCACTCCAGTGTTTAACTGGGTTCTGAGGGAATGGGGCTATACTGTTCACATCAATGTCCCACGGTAATGTGTCACACACACTCAGCACTCTCACGGTACTGAGGCTTTGAATTCCAGATCAGATTTTTCACTCACTCTGTTACATTTGTTTCCAATTCTGCTAAATTCAAAAAGTATTTGACCATTATTTACCCAATCAGACACTGCATGATCTTTAAAGACACCCCACACTCTTCATTCTCCCCGTAGCCCTGTATCAATCAAGGTACCGCACAGGAAGCTGCTGAGTAAGATAAGGGCCCACGGTGTTAGAGGCAAGATACTAGCATGGATAGAAGATTGGCTGCCTGGCAAAAAGCAGAGAGTGGGGTTAAAGGGGTCTTTCTCAGGATGGCAGCCAGTGACAAGTGGTGTTCCACAAGGGGCAGTGCTGGGACCACAACTTTTCACTTTGTACATTAAATGATCTCGACGAAGGAACTGTGGGCATTCTGGCTACGTTTGCAGATGATACAAAGATAGGTGGAGGGACAGGTAGTATTGAAGAGGTGGGGAGGCTGCAGAATGATTTGGACAGGTAAGGAGAGTGGGTAAAGAAGTGGCAGATGGAGTACAACGTGGGAAAGTGTGAGGTCATGCACTTTAGTGGGAAGAATAGAGACACAGGAGATCTAGTCCAGGATTCTCTCAAGGTAAACTTGCAGGTTGAGTCAGTAGGGTAAATGCAACTTTGGCATTTATTTTGAAAGGACTTGAATATAAAAGCAGGGATGTACTTTTGAGGCTCTAAAAGGGTCTGGTCAAGCCAAATGTGGAGCATTGTGCAGTTTTGGGCCCCATATCTCAGGAAAGTGGTTTAGCCCTGGAGCAGGTTCAGAGGAGGTTCATGAGAATGGTCCCAGGAATGAAAAGCTTAACATATGAGGAACGATCGAATTGAAATTTACAGAATACTGAATGGCCTGGACAGAGTGGATGTTGGGAAGATGTTTCCATTGGTAGGAGAGACCAGGACCCGAGGGCACAGCCTTAGAGTAAAGGGAAGACCTTTTAGAAAGGAGATAAGGAGAAACTGCTTCAGCCAGAGAGTGGTGAATCTATGGAATTCACTACCACAGAAGGCTGTGGAGGCCAGATCATTGAGTACATTTAAGACGGAGATAGATAGGTTCTTGATGGTCAAGGGGATCAAGTGTTACGGGGAGAAAGCAGAAGAATGGGGTTGAGAACTTATCAGCCATGACTGAATGGCGTGGCAGACTCGATGGGCTGAACGGCCTAACTTCTGCTCCTATGTCTTATGGTCTAACTTATCCCACTGCCCCACTCTCTCCCCATAGCCCTGTATCAATCCCCAACTAATCCCACTCCCTCCCCATAGCCCTGTGTCAGTCCCCAACTAATCCCACAGCCCCACTCCCTCCCCATAGCCCTGTGTCAGTCCCCAACTAATCCCACAGCCCCACTCTCTCCCCATAGCCGTGTCAGTCCCCAACTAATCCCACTGCCCCGCTCTCTCCCCATAGCCCTGTGTCAGTCCCCAACTAATCCCACTGCCCCGCTCTCTCCCCATAGCCCTGTGTCAGTCCCCAACTAATCCCACTGCCCCGCTCTCTCCCCGTAGCCCTGTGTCAGTCCCCAACTAATCCCACTGCCCCGCTCTCTCCCCGTAGCCCTGTGTCAGTCCCCA